AAGGACATGCCATGTCATAGGGAGGATAGGGCAGGGGAGCTGATGTTCTGCAGCTGGGAATCACCTGGAAGGGCTTTGTTTTTGAAGCAGTCTCAGTGTTCCCTCTGTGACCTCCAGCTGTGGTTTTATTCTAGAATCCAATGGTGTTCATGTACTTACATCTTCATCACATCCCTTCCAGATAACTGAGAGGATATGGGTTCCTTACAAAAACTCCTTTAAAACTAGTTCCCACACCACCTTTCCTGGGAAAAGGGTGGGAAAAGTTTGGCTGTTTCATTGAAAGATGTTCTACACGTGTGCTTCACTGATGAAGAGAGGTTCTCTGTTCAGTGAACAGAGTGATTTTTTTTCCTAACTTTACCCAGCTGCTTTAGCAGATTATGGGAATTTCCAATTGCCTCCTCATCACTACAGTGTTACACTACACTGTGTTAGATCACATATGGTTCCAATCTGTAGGCAGAAGCCTTTTGAGAAGAGGAATAAAGAGGACAAAGCTTTCTACTTCAAAACTTGTTCTAGATCAACTAAGTAAAAAGCCAATGGACCTGAACTAGAGTAGGAAGTAGTCCATGAAGTGGGAGTTTGGACTGAATAACGCTAGTTGTGTATTCCAGAGAAAATTTCTGTTAATTGAATGCTCATTATGAACTATCAAGGTGACATGAACACTGGGAACATTGGCTGTTTTATTTAGAAATATTTCCTGTTACTGTTGGGCAGGCATCAGTTGTATCACAACTGAGAACTGAGAATTCCAGGGGTGAATGGCACAGAGGATACATTGCTTTTGAAAGCTTATAATTTCTGAGTCATGCAGCTTTTAAGGATTCTGATTTCTGAAGTCACAAGAATTTGTTTTTTTGAGATTATTGTTGTTTTTAGTTTCTTTTACATAAACAGCCTGTTTTAGATTCATGCTGCAATGTATGGTGTCATTAGATACTTCTAATCAAAAAGAAAATCAAATCATGCAGCTGTTAACTTCATAAAGACAATTGAATGATAAAGCTTACCGTTGAGGACCTGCGTTTGTTAAGTGCATTTTTGAACAGTTTAAGAGTAATCATGCCTTTTCTTTTTAGATTAATTTATTTGAAGATATAGAGGATGTGTATATAAGGGTTTTTACGGTTTATGTGCTTTGTCAGTACTAAGTTAGTACTGGACATCCCTTTAGGAAAGAATAGCTAGTAAAAAGCTACAAATACAAATTATTTTCAATTAAATGCTTTTATCAGTAGAATTTGGTGCGGATACTTGAAGTAAAATTGAGTTCTGAAGTTCTTTTAAGTTTTTAATATGCTTGTTTCTTTATTAATAATTCAAAAGTTGGATGTTTTGCTTTAGTTTTTGTAACTGATGAAATCCATATGTTTATGGGTTGGGTTGTTGCCTCTTTTTTTTTTTTTTTTAATTTCAGCTTTTTTTTTTTGCTGGACATGTCATAATGTTAAATTAATTCTTAATCTTAACTTCTTAGATTTAACAGATAAGTTTTGCTATTTCCTTTTGTGCTGAGGATGATGGTTTGTGTTTTTTTATTGTTTCCGTGATTGACAGCAGAAGCCTAATTTCACAGCTTGCAGTAGGGGTAAAGGGGTGGTGGTTTTCTGCAGCTATATTCAAAAACTGTCAATCAAAAGCCTCCATAGGCTACTTAGAGAATGGGTTTTCTTACTGATTTCTCCAAATGCTGCTTCATGCTGTCTTTGATTGGCACAGCCTGGCAGGGAGGATGGATGAATCTGTCACTGGTCAGTTAATTGTGTTGCTGGTCTCAGCCTGACATCAGGTCTTTGACTCTTAAGTGGCTCAATACAAAACAAATTAGAAGATTGTAGTCATATTTCTCTTTCTGTATGCTTTGACTTTGTTGAATGCAGTCCATAAATCATATTGACTGACACCATAGTGAATGATGAAAGCTGCTTTTGAGACGCTAGCGTGGGTCTTAGAAAGCAGTGCCGCGGAGGTGCCATGCAAGGATGCATATGGCTGACCCTTTGGGAATTTCCTAGGAGCCAAATGTCTCTTCACTGCAATTGTTCTTAGGAGAAAAGCTTTTGGGTCCCATAAAAAGGATTTAATATGTCAGCAGATTCTCTTTATAAGCTCCTTTGAAATATAAGAAGTTTGTCTAAGGGTTTTCTTTTTTTACAAAATTGTATTTCAGCAAAATGTGAAGGCTGGGTCAAAAAAAAAAAAAAAAAGGAAAAAAGGTTGCCTTTAACACTGTTAGCAGGTGTTTTTGCTTATAGAATAGGGTCCTTGTTTCCTAAACTTTACATTGGTTGAGTGGAAGAATAGGTTTTGTAGATAGCAGCAATTAACATAGGCAGAGTGGAGATAATAGGAGGCAATACTGGAACAAATGTGAGAAGTCTGCTGAATCTCCACATGTTATTGAATATAGATATTTAATTGTTTGATACAGTTGGCACAGCCACCCGCTCTCAAAAAACAGAAAAAAGAAAAAAAAAAAAAAAAGAATGTTTTAAAACTAAATGAAATTTATTTCATTGTGGAAAAGAAAGATGTGATATTTTTATGTTCACAAATCCTCAAATTTTCTCTTTAAAATGCATTATGAAAAAAAAGTAATTGATTAATTGGTGGATGATGGAAATTTGCAGAGGGATTTTAACTGGAACTTGTTTGTTGAACACAAATTTGGATTTCATTCTTTTCTGAATGTTGTACATTCAGAAATGTTGTGCTGAATTTTGAGGAGGGTAACAATAAAGTTCATATTTATCTGATGTAAAATTCAGCATTTAGGTTGATACGTTTAGCTTTCTCCAGATTACAAAAAAATGAGTAATTGTGTTAAATATAAACTATGTATGGTAATCTATTACCTGCCATGTGAACAATAAGCCTGTAGTTCAAGTTGCATAGTTGGAAGTAGTTGAAATGTTAGGATGTTTCCATCTTACAAAATCTTACAAGAAACATTAAATGTACATGTATTGATATTTATTTAAAGTCTAAGTGACTTTATCATGTCATTTTTGTATTGTAACCATTGTCTTGTGCTCCAGTACTATTGATATTTGCCAGATTGCAACAATTAACTACAGATGCTTATCAGAAAGATAAAATTCTGTTTTTGACTAATAATAATAGGAGGAATACACATTGTTTGCATATAAAATAAATTAAACGTTAATTTTTTTCTGACAACCTATTAATCTGATTGAACTTTTATTACAGTATAGAGGCAGCATAAATAGGACATGGAGCTGATTTGATGGAGCAGTACATTAAACAGAGATGCACTAGATGTTCCATTAAATCAAAATGACATTTCCATTAAGTATTTGAAACCTACTACACAGTAATTAAATGAACTGTGGCCCATTGATTGCCCTCCTCACCTCTTTTTTTCTTTATTTTCTGTTTTTTTCTTGTCTTTTTTTTTTTTTTCCCCCATTCATATTGATATTGTTCTGCTTGGGGAACAGAGCTGCATGTCTCCCAGTGTAATTACCATTGGATTTGGGAGACTTTTAAGCATGCTGTTCTTGCATTGTTTCTTACATTCCTTGTTGTCAGTTCATCTGTTTTGGTCAAAAATGTTATTTGCTTTTCTGAGGTGTTCAATTAAGAAACTGACATCTCATTTTAGATATAAAGCTCCTAGCAGTTCGAGGTATTTTAAAGCTTAAGAGGTATTAGCAAAAGCCATTTAATGTGTGCATGAAAATTCAATAATATGTACAAGTCGTCCTATTAAGGACAAGATCTTCAGATGCTAGAGCAGAACTTCACAAACTTTTCGAATAGTGAACTGCTGTCAGTCCTTAGCACTTCTCATGGCTTATATGTGTTTCTTTGAGTCACCAGTGAATTGACCATCCTGACCTTGCACAAAGCAATTGGGGAACCATTGCTTTAGAGAATAGTTGTCATCACTTTACTGTTGGGTAGTAGTAAAATGGCAGTGGTTTATGTCCCAGTAGGTGGATTACATATTTATGATTTCTTTCATATAAGCATGTAAATAGTTACCTTTGTTTCAATATACATTGTAAACATTTGCATTAATTGAAAAACATGGTTTAAGCACATAAAACCATAGTTTATTCCATTTGCAAACCAAGATCTCTGTGCTTTTGAAGGTTGCAGTGCTATGAATAGAATGCTGGCATCTGATTGAGTATCTGCTCTTAATTGGTTTTTCTTCTATAGCAGATTTTCTATATTTTTTATAATTTTATGTACTAAAATGTTAATCATTTGTAAAATTAACTTCTGATTTTTGTGCTTTGTTTTATTGTTCTCTGGTCTGGAAATGATTTGTCTCAATTACATATACTTTGTAAAGAGAAATGTTACTAACTAGACTGTGATTGAAAAATTATTTCTATTCTGTACAGCAGAGGGCTGCATTTCATTTTGTATGTGGTTGATTACTGACAGCACTGATTTATTAAGCACCCAAAAAGATGATGGATATCATGAATATTTTCCATAATTTATCAACAATCTTTGAGATGGAGTTCAGGCAACTAAGGTGTCCATGATCAGCGTATGCTGCTATGAGAAATGCCACAATTGAAATCAGTGGTTTTGGTTAATATCTCTTTTTTTTTTTAATGACTATTGTTAAAAATATGTAGCAGGTTGATATACTTTTTTGCTTTCATTCTATCTGAGTGAAAAAAATAAAAAAATCATACTCATGCATCCACAGCTTATATTGTTATTCTACTCTTCTTTATTTGGAAATGTCCTTGTATCCTTGAAGGCTGTTGGATTTCTGGAAGAAGTATCAATAATTGTTTGACATCCATTTAATTTAGTTTCCTAATTGATTTAATAGAAACAAAGCTAACAGGCCAGAGAAACAGCAAAAAGTGTGATCATTCTTCTTCTAATCTAAGTCCTGCCTCATTAAGACTTTGAGCATATAATAAGATCAAACCAGATAAGCTGTTCCTTAGTAATATATCATTTGTTTCTATCTAAAAATGTGTTGCTCTTTCTACTAGGGAAAAGTGGCCCAGACAGCTTGCATGTCAGCCTGCCAGCATCTTTCAACATCTCTAATGCAGATGCTACTGGACACTGAACTAAAACAAATAAGCATGGGAGCAATTCAGCAGTTTAATTTAGATGTGATACAGTGTGAATGTAAGTAGATGTTCTGGTATTCTTACCTAAGTCTGTCTTAAAATTACAAAGGAAAGTATTTAATGTTGACCGTATAGTCATCTTTTTCTATAATCTACTAAGGTTTTGCCAGTTTGTTTTTGCTGTTTTTAATATGATTAAATCAAACTTCCTTTAAAAGTACTTACAAGTAAGTAGGCTGACAATTTTGGGAAAAAAAATAAGATTTTTTTTTTTAAACTTTAGTATCTGATTGAAGTATACAGCTGTTGCTACTCCTAATGGAATCATAATCACTGCATCCAGTAAAAAGACTATGGTCTAGCACGAAATTGACCAGAAATACTACATAAATATTATGGTTGTAAAGTTAAGCGCTAAAAAGTCAAATGTCTCTGAAATTTTAATTTTCCCACTTGAGATGATGTACTACAATACAGATTTTAATAGTGCTGTTACAAAGAGTTTTCTCCTTCCTAGAACCAATGCTTACTCACTGTGCAGAGTGGTAGTGTTCACTTAATAGACATCAACTCACTATTCAAAATATAGTATCAAAATTATTTAATAAAACTGGTTGAATCTAGCACTGATGACAGGATTAATTTCCCCATGTTCTATATGGAATTCACCACTGTAAGGTGAGCTTTTACTCTGTATTAAGGAAGTAATTTCATAACATTGTTGTGATGTGAGTAGATTGTATGCCTATTGTTGCAGTTGATGGCTGAGGTTCGCTAAGAAGGCTTGCTAGGACTTCTTTAATGCACATCTTTAGTTTCTCATGCCCTGTTTGTTGTTGTTTTGTATTTTTTTCCCCAAATGATCTTTCCTCTTATATGTTTGAGGCACAGATCTCAGTGATTTTAGCGACCTCTCTAGAATGTGGCAGTTCTTAGCTTGGACATATGAAAAAGAAACCTGATGTCTGCTCAATTAGCAGCCAGCTATGGGAAATTAGAAATTTGTTTCCAAGCAATTTAGTTAGCACCACTAACTAAGGATTCTTATGGGATTCCAGGGGCAAAGTTAATAGAAATTTTTGATGCCCACATGCTCATCTTTCCACTTCCTGCTCTATTTGTTACATTCCATTTAAAACTCTGCAGCAAGAAATGAAGGCACCTTTCTGACAGGCCCTTCGTATTGTAGCCTTAAGGCTTTTCAGTGCATGAGGTGAACTGTGACAGGATAATCAGGATCTGTTTGGAAAAAAATATACAAGGGCTGCTCCAAAAGTAACGCCTCAAATTTTATTCTGTTGGCCCATGACATCAGAGGTGAATGTTGGTGGTAGGGCAGTAGAGGTTAAACTTTCCCACCAGTATTCCTTTAAGTGTTGTTGCCATGTGACAGATGGCAGCAAAGGGGCACTCTGATACCATGTTGTCTGACATGGAAGTGCATATGAAGCAAAAGCGTGAAACTGAATTCCTCCATGCAGAAAAAATGGCACCCACTGACATTAGTCAATGCTTGCTGAATGTTTATGGAGACCAAACAGTGGATGAGAGTGAGGTGGGGGTGGTGCATTTCAGCAGTGGCAACAGCAGTGTGATATGCAAGCCATGCTCTGGATGGCCATGTAAATGTTTACAAGCGTGGCATGCAGGCTCTTGTTCAGGGCTGGTGAAAATGCATAACTAATGATGGTAATTATGTTAAAAAACAGTGTTTTGTAGCAGAGTATTTACCCATTTTGTTCTCTTTGTATCTGTTGTAGTTTCTAAATAAGAGACATTACTTTCGGAACAACCAATAATATTTGTGATCATAGCGTTAAGGTTTGTCTTAGGATGTGATTGCACTAGTTGGCCTCAGTTGATGTTTTGATGTTTGATACTTAGTGCATTTGATAATGCAAATGTAAGTGTTCTTTTCTAATTGATAGGTAGGGCATGTGCATGTCTATTCACCTGCTTTTTCAATTTTAAAAAAAGATTGTGGCTGTGAAAGCAAATTGCATAATATTCATAGTGCTGATACTGAATTGTTCACCTAGACAAGCTGAACTGGTGCATCCACTACAAAATCATTTGCCTTCTGAACAAACAGCATAATAGCAGAGAGCACTTGCCCTCTGCCTAGTTATTCTGTTTCTAATGTCTGAAATATGTACAACTGCAAATAGATTAAACTTTAATTATTTCTTTTTACAATGCTTTTAAAGCATAGTAGAAAAAGAAAATGGTTTCACACAGAAACCCTTTGGGATGCTTAAAAATAACTATGGCAGCTTGGCCAAATAGTATTCTGCAGTAAACGATGTCTTACCTTCTGAGTCTATGATTCTGTGGAATAAGGGATTGGCACTGGGTGTTGTTCAGAGACTGCTTTGCTGTTGCAGTTTCATTCATAAGGTCCATTGCAGGCACATTCCAGGCCTCACTGTGATGCCTTTGATTTGTGTTCTTGTTCATCACTCTCTCCCAGCTTTATTCTTTGACACTTTGAGATTAATGGGTACAACAGAGACATTTCAATTAGTGCATAGTGTGTGCAAATAATTCACAAATATCTGGTAGTTTTCTACTGAATTGTATACATTGATTTGACATTTTACTTATAGGTAAGGCAGAGTAAACTGAGATCCATTCTGAACTAAAAATGCATGTGAAATATAGAAAGTTCTAAATATTTGAAGATGCATTTTTAATATATTCTTGGCAATGTTCTAGATACTTGTTTTGATTTTTAACATTGCATTTTTATTATTTCTAGTATGAAATGGGGGAGATCTAGATAAATGCAGGAAAATGTGATTACTAGTCAGAAAAGGCAATCAGCAGTCTGATAACCAACCCAACAGTCTGTTAATAAGCTGTTAAGTCAGTAAATGTTAAAATTCATAAGAATTGTAAAAACCAGGTAAAATGATAATTGGACTTCCAGGAAATTAAGGTGGAAGGGAAGGAGGTTATCTTGTGGTGATCACTGGGATTTCATTATTTTGCACTTCATTTCTATGAAAAGTACCTGAATTTAAGAGGCAGAGCAGAAAATCCGAAAGTATCTTCATGATGCTTTTTCTTAACAATAGTATCAAATGGTTTTCTTGGTTGATTTAAAAATAGTATTGATCATCTTGCTCTGTTCTTCAGTTTTGCGTATTCCTTTCAAACATTATAAAAGCTGTAAGTTTGATTTCAGAATGTCTTGTTCTAACTGAAGTATTTTCCACGCTCTGTGCATATTTATGAACTAGAACAGTGTTTTACTTTTGTTTTTCATGTCATTCTTTCTTAATGATGATCTCCCATTAGGATAATTGATTTCTTACAGCAGTGTTCAGAAAAATGTGTATGTACTTGTTTCCATTGAAGGTAACCTAGTGAATGGCCTTTGCCTGTACATTGCGTTTCTGTGTGCAAAGGAAAAAATGTGTTGTGAAGGAGAAGCATTTGCCATTTCTTTGGAATTCAGACGTGTTGGTGTATCTCACATTATGAGAAGCAAGGTGTAAATAATAGCACAAGAGCTTTCTAGACACAGAAATGATTTTGGGAATGTGTGCTGTTTGTGTTAAGGAATCAAAAATCTACCACAATCCAACAAGCCTTTTAACAGTGATATTTGTGAAATGTGGAGATAGAGAAGTATCTTTCTGATTGTCAAAGAAATATGTTGGTAAAATATTGTATGCAATTTAATATAGATTTTAAAATATGAAAATTTTATGTAGAATGTTGTATTACATAGTGATTGTATATATTTCTCTGACTCGGACAGCTGCATTATTACCCAGTCATTTTGCTGAAGAGATCCAAACATACAAAAATATGTTGACTTCTTCTCCACACAAATAGTTTTTACACTGTATATTTTTTGATCCAGTTGGTACATGCTCAGGGACATGATTTAGCAGGGGGTTATCAGGGTAGTATGGTTAGGTTGGGGTTGGACTTGATGATCTTTAAGGTCTTTTCCAACCTGAGCAATTCTGATTCTATGATTCTATAAATGCAAGTGTAGATAACTTCCTTTTGCTTTAAAGTTCACACTGCAATTTAAGTGAACATAATGCTTTAATTTACAAAACAATCCAGATCTAGATACCTTGCATCAGCATTTTATTAAGTAGGACTGTTCAGAAATTCTAATTGTTGGAAAATTTATCAGTAGCTTTTGTAATACTTGTGTGTGTTTTAATATAGTTGAAGTGTGAGAAAGGATCAATTAGCAGGAGGGACAATTGAGTAGGCTTCCTTTTTCATCCAGCCATGAGTCTGTGCAAGGATGGGAAGGTTTTTAACTCTGACTGTCAGTGAGGGTGAAAGAAATTCTGGGACAGCATCAATTAGCAGACAATTAGTGCAAGGCAGGTTGCTATATACCTTCCAACCAGTGCACTGTATTGAGAGCTGCAGTGTCCAAGAGCAAGTGGTATTCTTGACCCATGTGCTCTCTGTTGAGCATACGCAGAGGTGATCTCCAGGTGAGTATGCCAGAAGCTGAGGAACTCAAATCCTGTTTTCTCTTGAAAAAACATAGTTCTCTCCTCTAGAGGCCCCTCACATTACCTGCCTGTCTTCCATCTACAAGGCTAGGTCAACTGGGCTTACTTGAGACCATCCTTCATCTGCTGGCCACATATGGCAGCAGAGGAGCAGGAGAAGCAGTGATGCCTGGCAGTGCTGGGGGAGGGCTGGGACCTGGCAGCTGGTGGCCCTCTCAGTGTGGCTCCCTCCAGCCTGTTTGAACAGCTGGAGCATCCAGCAGGGCTGCAAAGTGGCCAAAGGCTGCTCCAAAATTTGCGCATTCTCTGCTCTTCATTTAAAAATACAGTTGCAGCTCTGCCTTTGACTTGAAAATTGAAAACTATTTGTGTGGAGATGCTGAGGAAAGCTGCCCTAATTCAGCTTTTGATCCAAAGTCTGGCCCTGATTTTAATTTTTGTAATTGAGCTGCAAACTGTCAGAAAATAAGTACTGAATTCCCAGACCAGCAAAGCATACATGAATGATAGCCAAAGGACTGTGTTTTGAGAGAATACAATGAAGGGTCCTGTTAATAAATCCAGAAGTGCACAGAAACTCGCTACTATTCACAGGCGTCTTCAATTCCATTTTAGCAGACACAAGCTTTCTTGTAAGATATCCATCAGATATTTGTATATATCAGTTCACATATATCCTGTATACAAAATGTAATGAGAAGAGCAAATGAAATGCTTAAAATAGAGTAAAGCCATCTTTGCAACATTTAAATTTACCATTCTTGTGTACCTGTTAACTCATAGCCCATTCTGTATTGTTAAATCATTTTTTTTTCATTGGATTCTGCCTCCTGTAAATTCCCAGTCTGGCTGTTACATGAACTGTATTTCTGTGCTTAACAGTGAGGAGCTTGGGTGTGCTGTGACCACACATTCTACCAAAGATCCAGCCTTATATACTCAGAAAAGAACAACATGGTGTTAACAAAGCGCAGGGAAAGTTGTTAACAATATCTTTGTGAAGAGTAGATTCATCTAATGCATATATTCAGCTTATTTTTCTGAAAGCATTGAAGTTTCTAATTCAAACTGCCAAGCAGTTAGTTGTTTGCCTTCATATTCAATAGTCTTGATGGTGATCTTTGTATTTTTACTCTCAGATATTGTAAAATTCCTGAATGTCCTTATGCACACTAAAGCAACCAAACCAGTAGCCCCCTACCCCTCCAAATCCTCTTTAAGATTAACATGAATGTAGGGGGTAAGTATTTTTTAAGATCTGTATATGACAATGTTTCATTACTATCTGGAAAAGGACCCTTAGGACAAAGACATTAAGAATGTTAATCTGGTTCTTATAATATCTTCCTAAAATGCTGTGCAGTAGAAAATATTTAATTAGCTTTGTAAAATTGTTAGCAAAACTTAAAAGCCCTGAGCTGAGGGAGTGGGACTGTCTGACTGTTACCATAAGTAGATTATCTTTTTGCCCTTTGAACTCATGAAATTTTAATAATGAAGAAAATTCTGCTGTAGTCACCTGTCAAAAATGACCCAAATATAAGGACAAATATTTTTGTTATCATGAATGCCCCCAGTGTCATAAATAAGTTTATAACAGAAAATTGTAATTAAAGAGAATGGAGCATATACCATAATTTAGTTTGAGGCCTTGCATGTTTGCTCTGTAGCTACCTGAGTAGTAGGTGCTTTTTAGTGAAACAACTATTGCATTATTAATATGTTGGGGTAAATTCCCAACTATATTCGCTGCATCAGCAATATCTACTTTGTTGACTGCTCAAGACAACAAGCATAAGAAAAATTCTCTTCAACTCTTTTGAAGTAGAATGTCTTACCTGAGTGGATGTATGAGGCAGTGGGTTTCTGTAAATGTCCCTTATGAATGTGTGACTGGGATAAGAACATGAGACCTACCAACTGAGTGAGGCTAAGGCTCCCTTTAACCAAGCATCCTCAGTGTGATCAGTGATCAGTGACAGTATTTAGAGAAGATCATAAAACAGCAGCTGTTTATTGTGTGGCCCTTCCCGTTGCAGATCCATCTTCCAGAAGTACATAAGGATATAATGAACAGTGTATTCAGACTATTCTGTTTAATTGTTGTTGAAGGGCCTGTATTACAAATATACATTTTTTACATTTGTACTTGTTCCTTATTTGTATTTCTGTTATTCACAACCTATCGTAAGAATGAGTACAAGAATAATTGTACTGTGTTCTATCAAAAAGTATTTTGATTTGTAAAATTCTCTCCATTTATTTCATTGTCTATTATTTCTTGTGTTAAGAGAAGCAGTAAATCGGTGATAGTTTCCTTTTCATCTTTTTGCACAGTTAATGACTTCCTTGACTTTGGTTATTAGGCTACTGAAGTACTGCTGTCTGAAGGGCTGGATTGAGTTCATGAGCAGGCCTTCTGATCATATATAAGACTACTGATTACATAGCATGTGCCTCGTTGTGTCTGATCTCCAACTTTTAAATGTTATCATCATACAGCTTTTGACTTACTTCTTTATATTTAAGAAAAGGCAGTGCCTGGACGTGGATACTTTTCAACATGTGGGCTGTAAAATTCCATCCCATCAGTGCTTCTTTTGAGTACATCCTGAAGCCAACTGAAATGTCAGGACATTTTGCTGAGTTTCTGTTCATATGATTTTCGTAGAAGGAAGTGGGAAACTGCTGAAGTCTTAATTTGATAGCTCTCTGTGACATAAACAAAGGAGGGGGCTGATGGAAAGCTTTGTTTTCTCTTTCCTGAAAGCATTGACCATCTTTATACTACATCAATGCTTTCTGATATTTCTTGATTATTACTTTAACTATGATGTACTATTTTGGGGATTTGTAGTTGTAATGAATTTCTAATTTTACTATTTTTACTTAATAATAACAGAAATCTGTGACGTTACCCTTTTTTATAGATTATTGTCTTTTCTTTAGTTGCCTTCAAGTTGCGTATGAAATTAAAATAAATAACATATTTGTTAATTTTTAGGTTTGAAAATCTTTGAGGTTTCCTAACTTAAAAATATAGCTAGTTTGTTTCATTCATATGTGTTACCATTTTCTGTACTTAAGAGATAACTTTACCTTCCAATTTTGTCAGTCTGTTTTTGGGTTCAAGAAGAGCAGAAGTTCATTATCATGAACAGACATTTCAGTTCTGTTCTGACTGTGGCACTTAGAGTTTTCCACCTGTCGTCCACACATTAAACAATCTCCCACCTTACTGTCTTTTATTGCTGTTTGGATAGAGGTGGGGTTTTATAGAGCAGGTGCTGTAACAAAAGCAGATGTTTGAAAATATGTTGACAGCCATGGAATTGGTGTTATTTCAAAATACCTCAGTAATCACTTACCTCAGGCTGAAAATGTAAAGTTGTTGGCTTTAATGTTTGTAAGATTATTGCTGGTTTAGAATTGTAAGCTAAATGTCCCCCTAAAAGGTATTGTTCTTGGAAAGTTTTGTTTGTTGGTTGTTTTGTTTTTAATTAGGGTGGGTTAAATAGTTGTAATGTGTTTGCATCAAACTGATTTCATTTTAATGCTAGTTGTCATTTATAATGCATACAGCTAATTTTTATGTTAGATTATAAAAAATGTACATCCATAATTTTAATCTTTTTCTTGCAGTGTTTGCTAGTTCTGAGCCTGTGCCAGGATTCCAGGGAGACACCCTGCAGTTAGCTTTCATCGACCTCAGACAAGTAAGACACTAGTTGTTGTTTTTTATCCTACTAATTTCCCCTTTTGACCAATGCTGGAGTTATTAAATTCGAGAACCTTTCATGTTTTGGCATTCCTATGTAATTGGTTTTGAAAATCAGATACTTGAAGTGTTACTAGTGGCACTACTCCCTGTTATTTAGTATAAAACTATTTTTTCAAGGTGGTGTTAGGGGGCACTGTGCTACTGGTGGTATTATTACATGGATATAACATTGAATTTTGGTCCTGACTGTTTTGTAAAGATCCTGCAATGCTTTTATTTTTGAAAGAGTACACATGTTACTCTGGTGTGCTGTTACTGTCGTTTCATTCTGAGCAATTGTTCCTTTCTAGGGAATGACTCCCTGGAGAGTAGAATCAAGCATAGTATTATTTAATGTTTCCTTTACTTAACTTAGTACATATTCTTTTAAACAGTTAGAAAGTCACTTTATTCCAGCCAACTGATCCTTTATTCTATACCAAAATTAAGTTAAAGTGCCTTACTATTGAAAACACTTTTTCTCAGTTCTTGTCAAAAGGAAGGCTGTTTTCCAGACTAAAGTTAACTTATCTTAATTTCATGTAGTCATTTCTATTCCCTGCTCTCTAAATTCTGATAATATATCCCACCATGGCAATTCATTTTCATAAACCTTTCATACTTGAAGTAAATTTTAAGAGAGAATTTGTTTCACAAAATTTCAAGTACAAAGTGTCATTTAAATAGTGAAATGGAACATTAGCTGCGCAAGGAGGCTCTTTAGCTTTCTGCAGATGCTGATAAGATTTTTCAGCACCATTATGTGCCTATCAAAGTCATCAGAAAAGAGTAGAAATGCAAAATTATCTATGTAATAAGAACATGTTTGCTTTTAATAGTTTGGTAGGGTTTTTTTTTTTCACATTAAAATAATAGAAAGGCATATCAGAAGGGAAAATTCCCTTGGCAGCAGTGTTCCGGTTTCTCCTGATAATTAGAAAGGACTAAGTGTATTTTAAAATGAGAAAGTTTAAAGCTAGATTTGCCCATTATATTCTTAGCAGAACATAACATAATGAACAATATCTACAATGGGATAAGCCTGGCCTGTCTGAGAAGAATGTAGGATCATGGCCATAAGATTCATTAATGAGATACCTAAACATTAGGAGCACCAGACTTCAACATATTTGATAGTTTAAGTCTGGCAAAGTACAAGTCTTGCCTTGACTAACAGCCTTCCTCTTTTGGTTTCTCTTTTATTCTCCTTTTATTATCAGTGTTAGAACTGACAAAACATCTTCCAATTTGTACAAAGACAATTTACTTAAAGGGAGAGGATGTTGAGAGATTTTTGGCATCATTTCTTTCATCTGCCTGAGCATTATAAATCTTTGTGGAGCCTATGTTTGTTTCAAGGGAAAACGTGATTTTCAGCTATGCAGAAGCATATGCAGCTATGCAGGGCATGCACATGCTTGCTATGGGAAATAAATAATATTTTGTATGTATTAAGTACCAGCTGTTGAGCATATCATGTGAATAAGGATTATGTTGCCTGTGATAGCAGTCAGTTTATGTTAGCAATTTACATTTAGAATTCTCTTAGTGCAAATAACATTTTGTAGAGAACACTCTGTATCCCATGGAAACCTAATTGATTTTGAAAGCTTTATAAACAGCAAAAGTGTAGGTTGCAATCTAAGCATGTATGTATAAACAGGTCTGGTATATTTGTTTTGTTTTGTTTTTTTTTTTACCATATCATTGCATGTTTTGCCAAAAGTGGTTAGGTACTGCAAGAGCACATTAAAAATAACACTTAGCATTTCATAAGCATTTGCAGTGTTTTCCATCTCTTCCTTATTTGTGATCCATTTCTATCTTAATAGGATGGATGACAGTTCTTTTCAAGAATACTTAGAAAAGCAACAGAGCCTTTTTCAGAAAGTTCTTATAAAAGGTCATGCTTCTGTTTTTTAGTTTGAATTTGATACTTCTTCATGAATTGCAGGATATGAAAGATAAGGAAGTAGGTCCAGTGGTCAGGTTTTACCTGCCCACCCGGACTGTGCCCTGAGGTCAAACTCCTGATATTGGCTGTTTGGTACAGAGGAGCTGATGACAGGTAGGGGCTGATACAAGGGGGAAAGCTTGAACCGTATCAAAGCTAAAAGGCAAGAGATTTGGGACTCAGTGAGAGACTGTAACTAAAAGATGGATCAGCAGGATTGCCCTCTTCTTAAAAAGCAGCTGACCTGCAAGGGAAAAGACTTTATCGTCCTGCCAATCACATGCTTGCTAATGGAAGCCAGTTATCTCAACAACAGCTTACTCTCTCTGTGTTGTACTAGGACAATGTGTAAGATTAATGAGGATTGGGCAGTAGGATATTGTAGCACATTTTCCTAAAGAGGTAAAGCGACTTACGAGGAACAAGCTTGGAAGAAAGAGAGGGAAGAGCTGCACTTGGATGGTTACCGTAGGGAGAGAAGCAGATTTGAGAAGAATTGCCATTAGAATTTTCATCCTAATAGTTCCTGAAGGCAATGTATGAACAGTACGTTGTTCCCTGCAAGGCTTCCTTCCTTCTTCCCACAAATGCAAAAGAGCAAACAGAACGTTGACATGAGAGAGTTGCTTCTGAAAAAAACAAAAAAACAAAACCCACTGTATTTGCAGAAAGCTGCAAGAAGTTGAGAATGGCAATGGGGCAGGCACTTCCCCTTGTCCTCTTTGAGCAGCTATTTCTTATATTGTCTCCTCTTACACTTTTGTAAATACCTAATGTATTCCTTAAAGAAGCTCAGTAATCTGGAGAAACCCTGGTCAGTAAGGAATTTTGTTCTGTTCCTGTAACTTTGGTATCTCAGCATCTTTCAGAGATGACTTATCCCATGTAGTTGGCTAATCACACAAGGTGTATTTGTTCGCCATTCTATTTTCTTCTGCCTGGAGGAAGACTTTTGCGTGCATAGACTTCTTTCTAATTTAAATGTTTTGGTTGTATTCTGCTATTTGTTTTTGGCAGACAAAACTGAAACCTTTTGGGGCAGGGCACAATTTCTGAAGAACTTAAGAATTTATATGTCACATGATGTAATCTAGAAAAATTAATCCAGGATAGTTTCACGTTCAGACAATCTGCTTTGTGCAAGTGATTGACTTAAAATGGAAGAGTTTTATATTTGCTTTGCATGGATGGTTATGTCACAAGTGTAGCCAAAAACATGCTTGGCTTTTGCATTACTGTAAGTCATTGCATGACAGCTTATGAACTATCCTCCAAAGGATATATGTAACTACGTAGTGTCATCCCTGCGCTGATAAGAAGGTATTGTACTTCAGACCTGTTAACACGGGAAGTGGCTATAGACCCACAGAATAACATACGTAAACTTGTTAGAGAGCTGCCTGAAGTTTACTGCAGAGAGAATACTAATATACAATCCCCTCTACTAATTAAGAATCTGATGACCATGATCTTCTGAAAACTTGAAGCTCCAGCTAGTTTAGCAGCTACTAAAGCAGCAAGCAGCTGTTAAGAAAATTTATATACACAAACATTTCTGTACACATTTACACATCTCTGTACAGCTGCTGTAATTGTGTTATATGCTGTTTGCTTCGAGGTTTGACTTGAGGTCATACCTGGATGCACCATTTCACCTCTCTTACTTAAAGCACTGAGGAGCAAGGCGATTATCAAAGTGGCATGTGACTCTTTAAAGAGAATGGTCTTTGGCATCTCATGAAGATGACCCAGCTCACCTGTGACCTGCATTGCTCTCTGAAGATAATCTCTTGCTACTGACTATATAGAGAGCCTGGGTAAATAGTGCACTGGCCCAAAATGAGGTGGAATGAACTTTGGGGATTTTACTACCATTTCAGATCCTAGGTCAATTGGAATTAACCTTTGAAAGTAAACAAGTCTTAGTTCATCCTACCTGAATTAGTCTCTGAGAAAGCTATGCCTTCTCCATGAATTAGTTTTGTCCTGGTTATGATCTGTTCTTTAGTGTCCAAAAATTAGTGTTACTGTTCTGGAATGTGAGGCAGCTGCTTCTTAGCTGTCCTGCACTTTTAAACACTATAGGGAGAAGGCCTGAATATTAGAATGTGTGTGCTCTTCTTTGGAGAGCCCATGCAGTGTGTAGTGGACAATAATGATAACCTAGTAGTAACCTTAGAGATCCGGTTGTATGTTGTATCAGTAGCTGTAATTTCCCAGGGCAAATTTCATACTTCTTAACTAACTGAGAGGAAATAAATGCTTATTCCTGAAATAAAATCATTGCCTGCAGAGTTACAGCCTAAGCTGCTGATTTGATTTTATTTTTTTTCACCTTAGACTTCACAAGTGATTTCTCGTGCTTCTCTCCAACACAACCATTACTTCAGTTTCAGAGGGTCTTCCTCTACTGACCCATGTCAGACAAGTACTAGGCTAGTATGATGACTGTGGAATTTTCTTGTTTCAGCAGCGGTGTGAAGATAACTATGTTTTCTCTTGGCAATTGAGGAGGTGACATTAATATTCTCCAGCTGCTCTCAGAGCTGTTCCTGCAACAGGAATAGCCATCTGAGGTGAAGCAGAATCAGGTGTTGTAGGTAACCACCAGGTTAGCAAGTTTCAAGTTAAGGAACCACCACAGGAGTCTCCACCCATGCGGTAATGTAGTTTACAGTCTGTGAGACCAATGGCTGTGAATGACAGGGTCCATAAATTCCTCAGAGGTGATGAGGGAAGTATTTTTCAGCTATATATATTAACATTCTGATAACATTAGACACACATTAGATGTAAAATTGTAATGTGATCAATGCAGTTAATATACAGAATAATGTACCATGGAAACATTAGCAGATACATTTTTCTCACGCTTCTATATATGTGTGTGAATAAGCACGTGTTTCCATAAGCATAAGTAATTTTCAATGCACAATACATTTTTCTTCTAAAAATTTATATCTTATGTTTAACAGCATACTGCATTTTCTTCTGTTTGCAAA